TATATTGCATCACCGCTGCTTCTTAGCAGGACTAACAGCTACTAACAGGCCTGTTAATGTATTCAGAGCAAAAGTAAAATAACAGGTTATTGTGATCATGCTAATAAGCTGGCGGGAGATATAAAAGTTAAGTTTCAGTTTTCAGTTAAAAGAGTCAATCTGCGTTTTGATAGAAGCCTTTTTTTTATACTTTAGACCATGCATTAGCTGGAAAATATAGCCTGAAAATACTGTTCCCCTTCTAGGGAACTTGCGCTGCATCCTCTAGCGACAATAGATAGACAGACAGACAGACCGATAGATAGATAGATAGACAGACAGACAGACAGACAGACAGACAGATAGACAGATCAATAGATCAATAGATAGACAGACAGACAGACCGATAGATAGATAGATAGACAGACAGACAGACAGACAGACAGATGATAGATAGATAGATAGATAGATAGATAGATAGAGAGAGAGAGTTTTTGTATATATGTTGTTTTAATAAAGTTGCATATATAAATAAAATATACAGTACATTGTTAACATAATTGCTACATAAAATGCCATATGAAAATCACATAGATCACACAGATATTCTCAATATATGTACGTAATATACTAATATTACTGTGAGAATTTTATATGTTATAAGCTTACTGTACATCTTCATCTACCCAAAGAATGTACACATATGTGAATGTACGCTTTAGACTAACATAAATGGCAATATCAGTGGTGATATGGGGCAATATATGTCATATATATTATATTTCTGTATGGGCAGTAATTGGTTATGTTTTTTCTAAGGCCACGCTGACCTGTGCAAAGCAGCCAGTAGTTTATTTGTGTCTACTTGCGTCTGCTCCGGCGCCTGGCTGTGCCATTGATAAGAATGGGAGGAGCAATCTAACCTTGATAGGACATAATGAAATCCAGCAGAGCTGTAGGACACTTCTCTCATTTCACATAATCATAACGGCATCATTGCTGACTGTTACATATGTTACATAATGTATCATTTTACGGTCCTATAATAGTATAACCTTTTTACTTTAAAGATTTCATAAACACAACAAAAACTGTAGAATTCAGCATAAGAGAAAACGAAGCATATCGTCTCATATGCTTTCTTGTAATTTATTACTGTTGATATTAACTTGATATTAACTTGATATTATAGAGCAAGATACACAAGGAAAAAATCTACTATTTAACGAAGATAAAAAAAGTCTTTACTCCACATTTTTATTATTATTAGGTCTTATTTATTTCTATATTTTATTGATTTATTATTTATTTGATTGTTTGTTATACTTGGCAAAAAAGAAATAAAAACACACTTTTTAAAAGAAATAAAAACCCAGTATTATAATTTTACAGCCCTATAACTTTAAAGATTCCGCAAGCCCAAAAAACTTCAACATTCAAAATGAAACATATCTCATATGCGTTCTTGTAATTTATGATTGTTTTGATATTAAAGGGCGAGATATACAGTGCATTACTCTTTAACAAAGATCCAAAAGAACGCTTTTACTTTGCATTATTAATATACCGAACCGCTTTCAACATTAAACGTCTCTATTGTTATTATTTTACTGTTATTATATTATTGTTGTTATTTTTTTTTATTACAGTTCATAAATGAGTGCAGATTTATATGTGTTTTTATTTTTATTGATTTCCATGCTATGACAATCTGGCACTTCTGAATCAGCTATTGTTTTGTTATTAGTTTAAGTATTTGCTATTGACTGTTCAAATGCGGAGTTTTGCGCATCTTGTGTGTGTGTATGTGTGAGAGAGAGAGTCTAAGAGTTCTAAGACAGGGAGTCTGCTGTCTTAACCGTGGCTTGTGTACTGCAAACACATACCAGCTTCATCACGGTGTCTGTTACGAGACTCTGTTCCCCTTTCGGGCTGTCTTTACATTTATTTTGAAAGATGAAGCTCGCGATTATGGTAAGGGGCGTTACATTTCGGACGAGTGCTTGCGGTGTTCGGCCAATCACAATGCACTGGGTCAGCTGGCCAATCAGAGCAGACTGCGCTTGTCGGAAGGAGGGACTTTGTAGAAAACGAAGCGTTTGAGAGAGGCGAGGCATAGAGGACCTACAATAATGTACAGTATTTGAAAAATAATGTGTTTTTTGAACATTAAAGCATGTCAACATATTCTGTTACGCCAAATACACAAAATAATGATTTAAAAAAAAGCATCATATGACCCCTTTAACGGAAAAACTAGAACAAACAATAAGGCCAAAACCAAAGGGAACAAAGAACAGAATGACTGGCAAATAGACACCCATTACATTCAACAAATCCATCATTAAGACGTTTTAACTTCAATCCTTTGCTTTCGGCTAAAATACGAGTCCATAATCCATAATAACTTCTTAATGATGGATTTGTTTCTTACAAACATGCAGCTTTTCGCTTCACAAGATGTTAACTGATGGACTGGAGTGGTGTGGATTACTTGAGGATTATAGTGATGTTTTTATCAGCTGTTTGGGCTCTCATTCTGACGGCACCCATTCACTGCAGAGCATCCATTGGTGTGTCCAATGGATCCAATCTGTTCTGATAAAGAAACAAACTCATCTACATCATGGATGGGTGAGGCAAATTTTCATTTTGGGGTGAGCTATTCCTTTAATGTCAATGCAACATGCCCTATACATTTGTGTGTTTAATTGCAGGAGTTACAATTTACAGGGATGTTTGCGATGACTGAGAGGGGCCACGGTAGCAACGTTCGAGGCATTATCACTGAGGCCCGATACAATCAATCCACACAGGTGATTCCCAAGTCTATGCTTTCATTTACAGGACTGTCTGGGATCAACAGTGATTTCAATGCAAATTTTAAAGGAATAGTTTACCCAAAATGATAAATTCTGGCATCAGCAACTTATGTTGTAAACCCATATGATAGTCATGCTTACTTATTTTATCAAATACAGCTGAGATTTATACCATTAAGCTCCAAAAAGGTTCAAAAGTACCAAAAAAGGTTCTATAAAAGTTCTCAGTAACCCATAAAATAGCTTTGCGAGGAACGGACTGAAATTTAATGTGTTATTCACTGGAGAGCTTTATTTTTTGTGACTCATATCCACACTTGAATTATTGCGAAACAGACACCGAGTTGAGTTTAAAATGTTTCTGATGGTTGTTTTGCAGGAGTTTATTATTCACACACCTTCCGAAGATGCTCAGAAAATGTACATCGGGAATGCAATGAAAGGAAACTATGCTGCTGTGTTTGCTCAGCTCATTATAAATGGAGAATCTCAGGGTAAGAGTGATGCAACGGCTGTTCATACTGACTTTACATACTGAATTATCATCACAAGCCTGTCTGCACATTAGTTCATCATATCTGGCATGCTTCTAACAACTCATTTGTGCTCATTTAGACATGGACCCACTGATTTAAATTGTATATGTGGACATGCGTGACAAATGTTGGTGTTATCAAAAAATGTTTGACATGTATTGTGCGCCGATTGATCTGTTAAACAAGACAGAAACAGCTTGAATCACTAACCCATGTGTTAAACTTTAGCACATAACTTGTATGGATATGAACGACCTAAATCATGCTTCTTATTGAGATGATGTCTGTCCCAGGTCCCCACTGCTTTATTGTACCAATCCGTGATCAGAATGGAGTCATGTGGCCAGGAGTGACGACCATTGACATGAAGCACAAGGAAGGTAATACAATAACACTATTTTTCAATACAGCCCTCCTCAATAAAGTTTTTCAAGTTTTGACTGTTTTACTTTGTGTTTTTACGCAGGTCTGCATGGGGTTGACAATGGGATTTTGATATTTAATAACGTCCGGATACCACGGGAAAATCTGCTGAGAAAGTGAGTTAACGGACAGAATTACTGTAGATTAGGTATCGTGAACTAAAAGACATTCATGAGATGATAATAGAAATTGCCACAATCATGAAAAACACACACACACATACATATATATGTGACCCTGGACCACAAAACCAGTCATAAGGGTACATTTTTCGAAATTGAGATTTATACATCATCTAATAGCTGAATAAATAATAAGCTTTCCAATGTTTGTTAGGATAGGACAATATTTGGCCGAGATACAACTATTTGAAAATCTGGAATCTGAGGGTACAAAAAAAATCTAAATATTGAGGAAATCGCCTTTAAATAGCGCTAGTTGTTTGTCATTTCTCTGATCACAAATGCAGACATGCTTTTATGTTTACGCAGCACGATGCAACGCATAAAAAGACAGTATAAGTCATTATAATCCGTAATTATGTCCCCACTGGATGCAACAAATGCCTCGTTTATAATGGGTTTTCATGTTTTTGCCTCATCGCTCCGGCCGGACAAGGCATCACAATATGGTAGGGGCGTAACATTTCCATCTCACGCTTGAGGTATTCGGCCAATCACAACGCACTGGATAGCTGGCCAATCACAGCACACCTCGCTTTTCAGAACGATGAGCTTTGTAAAAATCGACGTTTCAGAAAGGCGGGGCATAGAGGAGAAACAATAATGTACAGTATGTGGAAAATAATGTGTTTTTTTAACCTTAAACCGCATAAACACATTTCATTACACCAAATACACAAAATAATGTTCTTTTTAGCAACATCATATGACCCCTTGAATATCCTAATGATTTTTGGCATAAAAGAAAAATCTATAATTTTGACCCATTCAATGTATTTTTGGCTAATGCTAAAATATACCCCAGTGACTTAAGACTGGTCTTGTGGTCCAGGGTCACACACATATATATATATTTATATATACATATATATATATATATATATATATATATATATATGCGCGTGTGCGTGTTTCATGTATATAGTAGTTATAAATGAATGTAGGAGGGAATGCATGTCTCTCACAGCTCATTGTACTGTGTTGCAGGTTTGGTTCAGTATCAGCTGATGGTTTGTACTCGTCTCCTGTCCTCAGTAAAAGCAGTCGCTTCAATGCAATGCTCGCTGCCCTGACACCCACCCGTCTGGGTCTCACCGTACATGCCATGGCTGCCATGAAGGTTTTTTACTCACCTCCACTCACATTTAACACAACAGTAATCAGTGTTATCACTCTGGAAACATGATTATCATGCACCATCACAAACATGTATCTCAGTGTGACCCAGTAAAGTCAGTGATGCTTCAGCTTCACCACAAGAGGGAGACATGCAATTATTTCTCCAGCATAATATAGTGTAATTTTAGTATTGTTTATACTATTTTAGTAATATTTTGACATTTATTTTTATATTTTCAGTTTTCATTTTAGTTTTAGAAATTTTATTATGTGTCTTTGTCATTTTTATTAGTTTTTAATATTTCCTTTTAACTTTATTTTAGTTAGTTGCAAGGCAATATTTTTAATTTTTGTTTAAGTTTTTCATATATATATATATATATATATATATATATATATAAAAAATCAATATTTCAATATTTCTATTTAACTTTAACTTATTTTATTTCAGTTAATTTGATTAATTAAAGTATAGTTCACTTTAAAAGGATAGTTCAATTTACTCTCTCTCTCTCTCTCACTGTCTGACTTTCACTGTATAGGGGAAAAAAAAAATAAAAATTTGTATTGTTTTTTTCCATACAATGAAAGTGGATGGAGACTGGGGTCAGACCACCTTCCCCTCAAATCAAGTCAGATTTATTTGTATAACACTTTTTTTTCACAATACACATTGTTTTAAAGCAGCTTTACAGAAAATCATAATGTTAATATTTAAAATATCTTAATATCTTCATGCCTTATATTTACATTTATCAGATCAGAGCTGGACGATAATATAGTTTACATTTTGAGACGATACAAGCAATCAAGCAGTTGAGATTTGCTATATAGTATATATCACCCTATGTGAGTATACTGTATGCATGCAGATAAGGTTGGACGTAATTATATATCCAACTTAATATAAAGACTCAGACAAAAAAAAAACAGGCATTTGAGATTTGCTATATAGTATATATCACCCTATGTGAGTATACTGTATGCATGCAGATAAGGTTGGACGTAATTATATATCCAACTTAATATAAAGACTCAGACAAAAAAAAAACAGGCATTTGAGATTTGCTATATAGTATATATCGCTTTACATGAGTGTACTGTATGTATGCGGATAAAGATGGATATACTTATATTTCCAACTTTATATAAAGAGCTGGATGCTAAAATAGTTATAAGAGCAGCTTGGTCATTCTGTTAAATATCTCATTTTGTGTTTCACAGAAGAAAGCAAGTCATACAGGTTTTTAACAACATGAGGATGAGTAAATTATAATTTTTAGGGTGAACTGCATGTTTAATTATTAATTATGTCTAGTACCAGTCTTATTAACTTAACCTTTACACAGTGTGCTTTCTCAACAGCTGGGGCTCGTCATTGCAGTACGCTACAGTCACAGGTAGGATGTTAAAAAATCTGTGCGTGTGAATGTCATGCAAGTTCATATGAAATTCAGATACGATGCATCGGTGGTAACAGATCAAAACAATTCCCTGTAATTATTTATCAGTGTTAAACAGTCGCGCTCCTTCAAGCGCATCAAAACTGCATCGACGAAGTTTCAAAAGCGATTTATGTGGTCGTAGGGGAGAGAAAAATAAACAACAAGCTCTAGAAATGAGTGAAAACAAAATGAGAGCGCCATGACGTGTGGAGTTTCTCCTCACCACAGAGAACATCCAGTTCAGAGGGATACTCTCGTCCGCGCCTCCGCTGCTGCTGCTGCGCATCTTCCTCACATGTGGCTTTGTGCATGTGTGCGTCTGCGTGGGCGATGCTGGGTGTCTCTGAACATGGCATCCCCAGGCTGAAAAAAATACAGAACTAGAGGAAATGTTTGCTTTCTATAGTTGCAGGTTTTCCATTTGCAAAACAGCTCTGCGCACCCACACGCACAAACATATCAGAGGAAGAACAAAGAGCCACAACTCTGGTGCCAAAACATGTATGAGCGCTCAGGTGTGAGAGAAAAACCGCACTCGCAGTTATCAGGCTCGATGCTCTCAGCCCACCACACCTCTTCTTGGTTGGAGTTTATCTTATTACGGCACACACCACAAAGCCATCGCACTTCAGACTTTCTGAACGAGAGGGTTTAAGGTTAAAAACAACAACGTGCCATCAAAAAGGCGGTGGTCATGTTGCGCACATGTGGCTCGCAGATTTGCTCGCAGCGTTTGGGAGGTTGTTTGGTCAGTTGGTTCGTTTTAGTGGTGGGAAAGTTAGTTATAAGAATAAGATTGATATGCAAGTTATACACGTCTTCAAAAGCTACATACAATCATTTAAATTCAACAAAATCAATCTTTAGACATGTTCACTGGTGCATGTCATTCCAAAGAAAAGTGTTTGTCTTTGCTGTAAAAGTTTTGACTGAGATCATGTAGCCATTTGTTCACGTTAACTAATACCAGTGTATGTATTTATATGCTATTATAGTATTTAAAAAAATATTTTGTTTTTATATTTTCAGTTTTAGTTTAAGTTTTAGTAATTTTGTTATGTAATTGTATTGTCATTTTTATGATCATTTTTTAAATATACGTTTCTATATAGTTAATAGATTTTTATTTCAGGTGTAGTTTTAGTAAATTTTATTAGTTTTCATTGTTGTATATTTTTATATAGCTTTAATGGATTTTTATTTCAGTTTTAGTCATTTTAAATCTTTTTATAAAGCTTTGATTTATATATATTTCACTTTTAGTTTTAGTAATTTTTATATAGCTTTATTTAATTTTTATGTAAATTTTAGTAGTTTTTTAAATGTTTTTTTAATTTGTTTTGAAAGCTTTAATTTATTGTTTATTATATTGTATTTATTTTTCAGTTAGTTTAGTTTTAGTCATTTTTGTACTTCAACTTCAACTTATTTCAGTTGGTTGCTAATTTTCCTGTAAAATTTTTAAGTTTAAGTTTTTCATCTAATTTTTATATTTATTTCAATTATTGAAAATTATTTATAATGGTTTTAGTTGTAGTGCACTGTCCAACAGCCAATGTAGCATTAGGTTAATGCAGCCTTTCTAAAATCTTACCAACAGTCAATAGTGATTTTTGATGCCAGAAAATCTTAATCTCTAAAAAGTTAATAACAGATAACATAATAATTGGAAGACTCTTATACAGGATGTCCAGTAGGAAGTATATGGGAAATAGAATTGGTTGTGAATGCCATATTATGTTGACTTTAACGCTGTAGCATTTCACTTTTCGAACTAAATCACAAGAGCCAGCGCTGTCATCTGTTTAGTGTAATGAAGGACAGTTGTTCAGATGACAGACGACACTCTGTGCATTTCATCAGTCTTCAGGAAATGTAGGTGTGCGCTTGCATCATGTGGTTCCACTATGTCTTCCGCCGACTTCTATATGTTCCACTCTAGAATAATGCAGTTCAAAATAGTTCATAGATCTGTGTTCCGACGAAAAAAGAGGTTTATTTCTAAAGAAATTAACTGTAAGGGATGTAAAACATCCCAAAAGGACTCTCAGATAAAAAGCAGTCCTTTCTCACGAAGGTTGTCGTGTTGAGATCACATGAACAGCTGTATGTAACTCGCTTTATCTCAATAGCAACCCTATTGATGTCACTGAAGTTGTGCATCTATTTGTTCATGTTAACAAATAGCAGTGTTATTTATATACTATTGAAGTATTTAATATTTGTATATTTTCTTATGCTTTCATTTTTGGTTTTAGTAATTTTGTTATGTGCTTTTGTCATTTTATTAGACTTTTTTAATTATTGTATATAGCTTTTAGTTAGTCATTTTTATTACTTTTTTTTATATAGTTTTATAAAGATTTAATTAATTCTTTATTTTATTTTTAGTCATTTTAGACTTTTATATATTTTATATAGCTTTAATAAATTTTTTATTTCAGTTTAGTTTTACTTTTGGATATTTGGTTGAAGAATAAATAATAATAGGTGACAAACTCTGCAACATCGACACTTATTGAACTGAACTGAATCAACATTGAGCTAAATAATGACACTGTGGTCTTCTGTACAGCTGCTTATAGTCCAATTATTAATAATTTGATTAACTTGGCACTATTAGTGAACTAAATTAAACTGAATAATGACACTAATGTCTTCTTCATAGCTGAATTTGTATTTGTTTTAGTACTTTGCAGCATTAATACTGTGTTTATTTAGTTAGTTACTTACTCACTCACTCGACAAGTACTGTACATCTATAAATAGGGTGTTTCTACAATAACAGCAGTAACCGAATGTGCTTTTACATGACATTTGACCGGCACATAAAGCGTCTGTTTATTTTTAAGAGGCCTGTACAAGAGAAGACACTCAACTTTAGATGAGGCATGTTACAATAGGATTTTTGTGTGGGCTTCTCACCTTTAAAACCACACATATGCGCACACACACACACATGCTCCCATCTCGTCTGCTCTGTGGGGAAGCCACCTGCAGATGTTAGATGTAGAGATACAGTTTGTGGTAGTTCAATAGTCACAGGTGTACAAAGCTCAACTTCAGTACAGCAGAAAGACACAAACACATACAGACACAAGACCAGACGTCCACCACAATAAGTCTTCCTCCGCACACACTAATGCATCCACTGCGGTTAAAAAAGTGGGTTACCTGGAAGGTTAACAGTTTATTTCTCCGATGCGTCGATATCCAGGTGTGTTGTGGGACGTCTGACCCTTTGCTGTGACCCCGCTGTGTCTGTTTGGGTTTGAATGTGATTATGTGACTATGACAGAGGTTTCTGAGTGTGCAGTGACATTTTGAATGAGTTTCAACGTCTAAATGTTCTTTGCAGTCGCAGACAGTTCGGTCCGAAGGATCAGGATGAGGTGAAGATCATCGAGCACCAAACGCAGTACCTGAGACTGATGCCACACCTGGCTGCTGCCCTCTCGCTCATTTTCACCACCAGGTAAATCTACTTCCTGTTCATGGCCCATTGAATATGATCTTTTTATATGCAAAGACAAGACTCTATAGGCAAAAACATAGTTTTTTCATGCACTTTTTGAATGTGTTGTTTCAGACTAGTGGAAAGAAAACATCCAAAAAACACTTTTAAGTGTTTATTTTTATTGCACTTTATCTGTTTGCATCTGTAGATTTTAATTATATAATGCATCTCTTTAAAGCGTTAGTTCACCCAAAAATTCATTACTCACAAGAACACAAATTAAGATATTTTTGATGAAATCCAAGAGCTTTCTGACCCTGCATAGACAGCAGTGGAACTGACACATTTAAAGGTGGGGTAAGCAATTTCTGGTAGCCAATGTTGACATTTGAAATCACCAAAACAAACACACTCCTACCCCAAAAGGGTCTCGCCCCTATTTTGTTAGCTCCACCCCACACATACGTACGCAACCCAGGCAACGATTAGTTCTGTGAAACAAAGCAAAACCAATGTTACACCGTGTCTACACCGGACGTGAGTGGCGAGGTGTGACAAAATACTATATATCTCATTATAATTAATGATGCTGTCTACACCATAGATATATATACATATCTATGGTCTACACTGGATGCGGCGCGGCACGACACGACAAATCCCCGACAGAAAACTGCTGCTGCGTTCTATTCATGACATATTGACACAAATTTCAAATGATTTTCAATGGTCGCTTTGTCGCGTCCAGTGTACTAGACAGACTTTAGCTGTTGTGGCGCAGACACGGTGTTACTCACCTATCGAGAAGAAACAAAGCAACCTCGGCGTCCGATTGCAGACCTTGCGCTCCTTGAGTTCTCTCCAGTGCTGGAAAGCTGATCCGATATTTACACGGGTCCTACTTCTTGCCTTAAGCCTTCTTTTGTTTTTTATCCGCCATCTCTATCTTTCTGTCGCTCGGCTCGCTAATGTGAGCACTGGACGCTCTCTCCTTCACATCATGAGTAGACACGCCGCTTACTGCTGATTGGCTACAAATTTGTTTTGCTAGTCGGCCCGAATCGGTTTTCTAAAGCGTTCATGAAAAATCGCTTACCCCACCTTTAAGGCCCAGAAAGGTAGTAAGGACATCATTAAAATAGTCCATGTGACATCAGTGGTTCAACCCTAATTCTATGAAGCTACGAGAATACTTTTTGTGCGCATGGAAAACAAAAATTGCAACTTTTTTCAACATTTCCTTCTCTTCGTGTCAGTCTCTGCTGCCATTCACGACAGTAGCACAACACATACGTGTGCATTCCTCTGCTTGCAAACGAGCCGCAGCGCATGCGTGTTCTACGTCAGAACGCCGGCTCCTGCATCAGCAGCATCACACGTATGTGTCGCGGTACTCTCCTGAACGCATGGCGAAGACTGACAGAGAAGAGAAGAATTGTTGAATAAAGTCGTTATTTTTGTTTTCTTTGTGTACAAAGTATTCTCGTAGCTTCATAGAATTGACCTATCGGTAAGCCCCTCCCCTTGAACGCAGATGAGCCAATGGTAGTCGAGTATCAGTTGCACGGGGAGCGGAACTCGGACATCTTTAGGTTTCAGCTCCATAGAGAAACATTGGAAGATCTGAATCGCTCATCGGTTTGATGGTGTTTATGCTACAAAAATGGAAAAACAATGTGCTTGTGGTACTTGTAACACTGATTCCAGTTATCCTGAGAGGATGGGCAATATAATTTATTTTATTACATTTCCTAAACCCACACAAAACAGAGCAAAATGTCCCTAAGCATTCAACCCCAATCCCAATGAAGACAAAAACGTTCATTTGGTTGTCATGCACTCATTAAGTTACAATTTTCATCTGCTCAAGCAGAACATTAATGTCCTCTTGTGCTTCAGCAAGGTATCTCTGGCTAAAACCAGCTAACGTTAAAGTTAGTGAGTCAATGCTATTACAAACCTAAATAGCGAACTGTTCTCACATCATGTACAGTGTAGGTCAAAAACACATAAACGGTCTACATTTCAGTGCCTCTCCATATTAAACTGGTTAAATGTACAATAATTTAATCGTACCCTGCGATACATGAACAGTGTTGATCTGGGATGTTGTCATCTGCAATCGTGACGGCCGTAAGATGAGACTTCTCCTGTTTGTATTGTGATCTGTAAACCCTCGCTTCAAGTTACCCACCGTATTTATTTTAAAATATTTTATCCCTCCATGGAATATTTAATTCCCACTTGAATGGTGGCCCTTCTGTGTCCAAAATTGTGCAAAAACATTGTGGGACAAGGTTTTCACACTGTAAGAGAGTGAGCAACTCCGTTTGTTTGTCCGAGGGAGAAACAATAACTAAGGGGGGCGGGGCTTACGATAGATCAATTAGGGTTGAACCACTGATGGGACTATTTTAATGATGTCCTTACTAGCTTTCTGGGCCTTGAATGTGTCAGTTCCATTGCTGTCTATGCAGGGTCAGAAAGCTCCCGGATTTCATCAGAAATATCTTAATCGGTGTTCTTGTGTTATTAATGACAGAATTTTCATTTATGGGTGAACTAACGCTTTAATGGCCGGTTTCCCAAGTTTTTCTCAAGGCTCAACTTCAGCAGCACTTACAGTTTTATTTCCCATATATTCGGAAGGGTTTAACAGAGGGGTTTGTTCATATATCATTCTTCTGAGTTTATACAACATTTTTTACCTAAAATCATGGTGATATATATATATATATTTATATATATATATATATTATTCTGGATGTTGATAATATTTTCTGATTTATGGATCAATCAAAATAGATATCCAAAATCCCCAATGTAAAAACCTTTGACTCTAATATGTCAACAGAATAAAACAACCATTTTGAATCTGGATTTATTCAGTATTCTATTCTGGAATTCTATGCAAATTAGTGGATATTTAATTAGAGTATGCCTCATTTGCATATTTAAACATAATATCTCAGAAAACTTGTCATTCTTTTTTTTTATATATATATAATTCTTCATGTAATCAATCAACTGAGGACATATGGCGAGTTTTTTTAGTTATTAGTTATTAGAAGTATGGCGATAACTATTAGTAATCCTGGGATGTCTTGCCTTAATTTAGCAGATGATTTTGTTCAAAGCAAATTGCATATGAGAAAAGACACAAGGTATTTAATTTAATTTTAAAAAGAAAGAAAAAACTGAATAACAAAACAAGATAAAGTTTACATTCTTGCATTTGACAGATGCTTTTATCCAAAGCGACTTACAATGCATTCAAGATATCCAGTTCATGCATTTCCTGGGAATCGAACCTTTGACCTTGGTGTTGTTAGCGTCATGCCGTACTGTTTGAGATACAGGAATGCTGCAAAATAAAAATTAAATAAATCATCAAATTAATAGATACTTTTGATTGAATCAAATGCTATTCTATGTTGCAAAAATACATTTTAGTTAACCCTTTTCACAGACTGTGATCAAGCAATTCTATAATTATCAGCATTGCAAATGTAGTAAAGTTTTTCATATTTTATTTTTTTAAAATGTAGTATGCATTTATAATGACATATTCTATTTTATATTACCGTGGCAGTAAATTGCAAAATAAATTAATTAATCAATTAAAAAATAATAATAATGAATGCTGTTGCGCAAGTGTTTCTAATACAACGGCCGAGGGAGTGAGAATTTGACATCTCTTGACTTCTGATTTCTGTAATCATTCCCTCTAGATTTTCCCTATTTTTGGAAAGTCATGGAAATGCTATCATGGATTTTTTTTCTTTTGCTTTTGGAGCAAATGAGAATACAAAAATGATATCAGCTGTCATCTCCCGTTCACTACTGTAGCAGTTTACTGACTATGACGACTTCCTCTTCTGAGAACCTCAGAAATGTGAAAAGGATCCATTGTATTTTTAATTTGCAAAAATACATTTTAGTTGTGAAATAAACATTTTAAAATAGCACATACAAAATCTTTTTAAACCACACAATAGCTTTGGGTGAGCAACCATTTTTGCTGATTTTTTATAAATGGTCTGAGTGAACTCGGTTTTGTCCACATAGAACATCAAACTAGATTTAAAAATAAGAAGAAAGTGTCACATGTGCCCTTTAAAGACACAAAGTAGCAGCACAAAGAGCATTTTTATTGGCCTCCACTGGAGGTCTCTGTGTTTGTGTAATTCAGGTCAGTGGCACATTCTGAGAAATACCACAGGAGGAGAATCAAAGGAAAAGAGGAGCTCAGATGCCTCCTTCTGAGAAACCACTTTATTTATCTGACACATCTGCACTTTATTGGAAAGTCAAAGAGAACGAAAGTTTGATGGTCAAAGATTTGTACAGTGAAAGTCTGATTCCCTTTTGTACAATTAAATTTTTAATATTTAAAGGGGTCATATGATGCGATTTCAATTTTTCCTTTCTCTTTGGAGTGTCACAAGCTCTTGGTGCATAAAGAAGATCTGTAAAATTGCAAAGACTAAAGTCTCAAATCCAAAGAGATATTCTTTATAAAAGTTCAGAGTCAGTCATGCCTACCTAAAACGCCTCGTTCTAACACGCCCCCACATATCTACCTCACTATTTGGGCGGCGTTATGCAACTCTTCCCACATCTTCACGCAAAGAAAGAAGGCGTAACTTTTATTCTCGCTGCAGTATTGTTGTTGCCGCCGCCATGTCGTGAAGGCACTGTGTGTTTCGTTGTGAAAGCGAAACTACTTTGTTTGGCCTTCCAAAAGAGGACGATATCACTTCGTCATGCCTGGAGCTGATCCGTGCTGGTCGCTGATGGAATACATCAGTTATGTGCTGTGGATCGCCGGATCGGCTTTCACCGTGGATGAAGTGTAGTCCAGCCCGGGGTCGTCACATGTGGTTGCCGCAGGCATCACAGTATGGTAAGGGACGTAACATTTCCATCACATGCTTGAGGAATTCGGCCAATCACAACGCACTGGATAGCTGGCCAATCAGAGCACACCTCGCTTTTCAGACCGATGGGCTTTGTAAAAATCAACGCGTTTCAGAAAGGCGGGGCATAAGAGGAGAAACATTAATGTACAGTATGTGGAAAATAATGTGTTTTTTGAACCTTAAACCGCATAAACACATTTCATTACACCAAATACACAAAATTATGTTCTTTTTAGCAACATCATATGACCCCTTTAATATTGTATTTTTAATTTTATTTTTTTATTTAGATTTATTTGGGCAACATCCCTGTAGCTCAAACACAACAGCATGTTGCTAGCAACACCAAGGTCATATATATATATTTATACAAAGTAATAATCCTTTATTAGGTTAGGGTTTGTTGTGTTTGTATTGTATGTGCATTGTCCGTATGTTCCTTTGTTTGCTCTCAGATACGCTGCAGGTTTGATGGACGATGCTTTGTGTCAGGGTCAGGACCTTCAAAGCAATCGCGCTCTGCAAGCTCTCGTCGCAGGACTCAAAGCCTACAGCACGTGGGAGAACGTGACGTGTCTGCAAGACTGCCGTGAGTGTACTGGCGGCATGGTGAGTGTGCGCGTGTCTTTGCACCTAAACACACATATATGCTGATACTCATGTCCTGTTGTGCAGCGACGTCACGGTGTCAAATACAAACCTCCTGAACTGTCAAAGAATAACTTGCATTGGTGTTTTTGTGGACATGTTTTCCATACTATAATCTAATACAATTTTAACGGGGATTTTGCTGCTGCTTCTTTTTCTTCTTCTTCTTATACATGATTTTTCTTATTAATTTTAAACCTACATGGAATATCTAGGACCATTACAGGACCTTTTAAAATGATCTAGTCAAGACAAAAAGTGACACAAATGAAAAAGAAATTATGACCAGTTCTCATTTAGTTTTCATATAAATTATTGTTTGCTTGAATAATAAATGTAAATATCAGTGGTGTAATCTTGATAGCCTGTGCTTTTTGTTGGCTCATAGTGCTTGTGGTGTGAACAGCATGTATATGTTTAAAATGCGTGAAACCACAGGGCTGATATACATTTTTGATCTCACGCAAACAAAACACATGGTAAGAAAATAGCTTGTGTTAAGATATCTTTTAAATAAAGAAATCATTTATTAACACACAAACAAGTATCATTATTACGATAACTCAAGTGTTGCAGCCGTTTATTTGTGATAATTTACATTTGTTTATTATTATTATTTGTATTATGTATACATTTATATTTGCATTTATGATTTTTTTGTTTTCATATATCAACTTCCTGGCAATCATTCTAGCATCATTGGGGCGAGTTTTGCACCTCTCACATTTTCTTCAGCATGTTGTGGCATGTTTATTCCCATCCATTTATTTAGCAGGGGCGAAAATACCACCAAAATTAATTCAAATTCAATATATGTGCGAAAGAAGGCCTCTGCATGAGCACTTGTTTAACGTATGATATAGTCAAGCAATATCACATGAGCAAGAGTGCCGTTTTTCCCAAATATTATCACGACTGATATTGAATTTACATTAACAGTTTAACAAATATTAAATTAATTACATTTTAGACAGTTTATTGTCAGTTTTTGCTCTACTTCACCAACGTAAATAGTTCTAAACAAACTCTGAAAATCAATTTAAATGGGCAAATATTGGAAAAATTAATTGGTCACAACAAAACATGTCATTTCTATTCAATTTTATGCTAACTGTGTGAGTTTGAGTCAGTACATTGAAAGTGGTCAGATAAAGTGTTTAACACTGTAAACGTTGTTCCAATGATTATATCAAATTTTTAAGCTGGTGATTTTTTTTAAAGGAATAGTTGACCCAAACATGAGAATTTGCTGAAAGTGTAGACATCCTCAGGTCATCCAAGATGTAGATGAGTTTGTTTCTTCATGGAAGAGACTGGAGTGGTGTGGATTACTTGTGGATTATTGTGATGCTTTTATCAGCTCATTCTGACGGCACCCATTCACTGCAGAGGATCCAATGGTGAGCAAGTGATGCAATGCTACATTTAGCCAAATCTGATGAAGAAACAAACTCATCTACATGCTATATTTTCAGCAAATCTTCATTTTTAGGTAAATTATTCCTTTCACTGATGTCCACATACAGTATGTCAAATGTGTATTTTGATTTGCTTTATTTCACGTTTAAATAGAAACTGTGGTTGATTTTCCTTCCAGGGCTTTATGATGGAAAACCGTATTCCGTCTCTGAAGTGTGACTCCGACGTCTTTGTCACATTTGAGGGCGACAACATGGTCATGCTTCAGGTATTCATAAATACTGCTTTAGCTAGATGACACCACACAACAAATGCACTCAAAAAACTTGCCAGCAAGTATTGAGGGGGAAAATGCTTGGTCGCAAGGGTCATGTTTATTACCCTCTTTTTCCTTAAGGTTGTTATTTGTTTTCCTACTTATTTTAGAGCTATTCCCTTAATATAGTCCAATATCACATTCAAATACCCACGTTCAGACAAACAAGACAGTGTAAACAGAAAACACAGAGATATCTACACGATGACTGCTTGGAGGGGAAACTAGACAAACGGCAATTCTTTTAAAAATATAAATGGTGTCTCACAAACTAAATTGAATTAAGTGGATTATGAAGGCATTAGAATAAAGGGGATCATTTTGATGCAATTGCACACAATTTAATCAACAATAATGTGTCTCTAGCATCGGGACTAGTTATTAGATGACTGCTGAGGTAATTAGATCAGCTTTGTGATTCATTTTGTGCTGGTACTGATTTGCACCACATCGATTCGGCATGTAAGACGACACACATGCACACATAACATGCATAGAGTCTCAAACACAACGTTTACATTCACAGCTTGTCGAAGCCTAAAGACATGTATTTTCTGCTGAAATTAGATGATGCCCTTCAGTACCAAAATAAAGTCATGCAATTGAATCCTTGGAAACAGACCGATGGTGTTGTCATTTTAAAGGTCCCATATTGTCAAAACTGAGGTCTAGGTGCTATGTAACTACCATATAAGTTTCAAAACTGTCAGTCCACAGTAAAATTCACACAGCCTGCTTAAAGTAGCTGTGATTTTTCACAAACCTTTGTGACTTCCATAAAAAGTTGACGTCAGAACTACACAGTCATCACAACAATGTATATACAATTACAAATGATTATATATAAATTGTCAGTTTGTTGTTTTACACACATCCACACAGACATTATTTCATACACAACATAGTCGTGAGATGCAAGAAACATAGACATATGGCAAGAAATATGTAGAAGCGCCCATAACAACAAAAGACAATACTTTATTGAACCTTTTCTGATAAGAAAAGAGCATTTTTGACGTTCGTTTCTGTCCAGTCTGCTCGTTTTATCGCGTTTAACCACAGCTGTCGTCGGTTTTTTGTCTGGCAGTGGCAGCAGATATGCGATCAAATTTCTAATTTGAGGCTGTATTACATCGATTCTGGCACCCAACATCACAACAAGATGATATTTTAAGCTCATGTAGCCGAATCTGCGCTGGTTTGAATGGGCCGCCTCCAGTTTCACCTTTGTTTTGCTGCCTCCAGCTAGCGCTGTGACGTCGGCTGACCCTAGTTACCTGTGGCTGGCCTGGTCATGTGTCACTCAGAAAACAACAGGCCAATCAGAAGAGAGGCTCATGAATATTAATTAGACAGGCCAAAATCGACAAGAAAGGAGCTGTAAAAATTTAAAATATGGGACCGTTAACACTAGAGAGTCTAAACATTGAGAAGGACAATATTCAAAATTGCAGTTGAGAATTTTAGTTTTAATTACCATTTCTTAAACATGTACATTTGTCCCCTTAGTTTGGAATACTGGAGGGAATTTTGAAATATTACAGTTACAAAATATCTGTCTAAATTCTGTATTGTTACATTTAATGGTGCGATCAGAATTTAAACTCTTCAAGAAATGCAGATTAATATTTGTAGCTTTTTTCTAAAACTTGAGCTTAGTAATTGAGTTTTTGCATTACTGTAGTTTATATTTGTGTGCACATACACTACTGTTCAAAAGTTTGGGGTCGATTAAGATTTTTTTTTAAATGTTTTTGAAAGATCTCTTATGCTTACCAAGGCTGCATTTATTTGATCACAAATACAGTAAAAAAGTGAAATATTATTGCAATTTAAAATCACTTTTCTGTTTGAATATATTTTAAAATGTAATTTATTCCTGTGATGCAAAGTCTTCAGTGTCACATGATCCTTCAGAAATCATTCTAATATGCTGATTTGCTGCTCAAGAAACATTTCTGATTGTTATCAATATTGAAAACAGTTGTGCTGCTTAATAGTTTTGAGGAAACAGTAAAAGCTTTTTTTTTCAGGATTCTTGAACAGCATTTATTTGAAATTGAAATATTTTGTAGCGTTATAAATGTCTTTACTGTCACTTTTGATCAATTAAATGTATCCTTGATAAATAAAAGCATTTTTTCAAAAATTATTATATTATTATATTCCTTCTGAAAATTCATCATCATGAATCACCCTCACGTGCTACAAAAAAGTTCCATAAAGCTAGTTTATATGACTTGTGCTATTGAGCAAAACTGAAATCGTTCAGGATTTACAGAATGTTCCCTTCTGCACTCAAATCTTTATGTTTGTACACACTAAATTTGATGTCAGTGAAGTTAAAGGTTATTTGTTTTCACATGTCTCATGACATTCTGCTGAAAATCACTTTGTTGTGTTCCACAAGGTTTGGAACAACATTAGGGTGAGTAAATGGATGACTGTTGATTTGAACGACTCCTTTCCAACGTATTTTCCAAAAATAAAAGAGCAAGTGTTGCGCACGGCCAGGAACAGCTGTTGTTTAGGAATAATAGTACCTAATATGCGTTGCCAAGTTTCTGATCATCCAGTAGGCATCAGTCATGTGTAAATGTGGGCATCATCCTGAAAATGTCCTCACCCTCAGGCCATCGAAGATGTAGATTAGTTTGTTTCTTCATCAGATTTGGAGAAATGTAGCATTCCATCACTTGCTCACCAATAGATCCTCTGTAGTGAATGGGTGCCGTCAGAATGAGAGTCCAAACAGCTGATAAAAACATCACAATAATCCACAAGTAATCCACACCACTCCAGTCCATCAATTAATGTCATATGAAGTGAAAAGCTGCATGTTTGTAAGAAACAAATTCATCGTTAAGGTATTTTAACTTGAGCCGTCGGTTCTGTCCAAAATACAAGTCCATAATCGATAATAGCTTCCTCCAGTGAAAGTCCATCACCTGTTGTCTCTCACATAAAAATCACACACATATTTGTTTAGAGCTGGTTTGCACTGTTTTCATTTGTAAATGGTGCTTAATCTGTGCAGATATCTCTCCTGATTTAGACAAGACGACTTTTTTATTGGAGAGAGCAATATTATGCATAGAGGACTCATTGAAGCTGGAAGCAAAGGTTTGATGTTAAAATGTCTTAATGACTGATTTGTTTCTTATAAACACACAGCTTTTCACTTCACTAGACATTAACTGATGGACTGGGGGGGTGTGGATTACTTGAAGATTATTGTGATGTTTTTATCAGCTGTTTGGACTCTCATTCTGACGGCACCCATTCACTGCAGATGATCCATGCTACATTTCTCCATATCTGTTGCCATGAAGAAACAAGCTTATCTACATCTTGGATGACCTGCGGGTGAGTATATTTTCAACAGATTTTGATTTTGGGTGAACTCCTTCTGGCTTGCGTGTCTGGAGTTCTGAACACTACAGTAGTTTTTCATTGTACATCAAACTATTTTTATGTCACAAATCAAATAAACATCTCATGATATTACCTGTTTGAATCAGAGAACATATAACTAAATTCTCTTTAAAATGTAGCCTTCTGCCTTTGACTATTACTTTAATATATCGTAAAGCTGCAGTTCCTCTTCAGGAACTCGAGCTGCGTCGAAAACGCTAGGGGAACGCCTTCTGCGACCCATGCTCTGAATCACATGTGAAATCAGTCCAATAGCTGAACGGGACGTCACGACGGGTGACGTCATGACCAGGAAGCTATAAAAGCACGTGCGGCGGAGCCCGCGTCAGCTTTCTGTCATTCAGCGAAGCGCTTTGTGTGTCAGTCATATTTATTGTTGTCTTGTCTATTGTGAGAAAAGTCTAATAAGCAGCTATGTCTAAGGCTCACGCTAAGACAAAGCATGCAAAGGGCGAGTGCAAGCCACGTTATAAGTTGTGTGTTCCTCCCTGCCCACGTTACATCACCGATCTCTGGGTTCGGAAGCCCGTTCTGCGGCTACTTCCTCCCGGGGTGACGGCTCGACACTTCTCCTGTCTTCCTCCGAGGAGGTTGACGTGGAGGACGTCGAAGAGGTTTCGCCCCCTCAATCGCCCCAATATGAGGAGCTAGTGAAGGTGCTTACTCGTGCCGTGGCCAAGCTAAAAATCGATTGGCCCGCCGAGAAGCAGGCCGAGCCGCAGCGAAGCAAGCTGGATGAACGCTTCCTGCGCGTGAAGCCGCCACCTCATTTTTCCCCAACCTTCACACCAAGGTGTCGAGGTCGTGGGCCAGGCCTTTTTCGGCCCGCCTATTCATCCCTGCTTCAGATTATTATGGAAATGTGGCAGGGCTAACTGAGCGTGGCTATAAGGCGATACCCCGGGTTGAACAGACGCTAGCTAGCTATCTGTGCCCAGGCATGGCATCGTCTTTAAAGGCTCCAGCACTGCCCTCCAAGCCGCTACGTACAACATCAGCGCTGGTGGGCAAGGGGTACGTGGCAGTGGGTCAGGCCGGTGCGTGTCTGCACACAATGTCTGTGTTACAGGCGTACCAGGTTCTCGGACCTGATTTCCCTTCTCGATGGCTCTCCATGTGAGATTCCCGTCAGGAGGGACCTCCTCTCACAGGCGGAGGGCACGATATTTCACCCCCGCCCGGAGCTGAGGAAGTTATGGGTGTGGCCCCTGAGGGGGCACAACTAGTAGCTTCCGTTCTCTCAACTGAGGTTGTTGAGACCATCCTCCAATCCAGAGCTCCCTCCACGAGGAAACTGTACGCTTGGAAGTAGAAACTTTTCACTTCCTGGTGTAGAGACCGCCAGCTCAACCCAGCTAGCTGCCCAGTCGGTACAGTACTGGAGTTCCTACAGGCCCGTTTCTCTACAGGGTTAACCCACTCCACCCTGAAGGTCTACGTGGTGGCCATTGCGGCCTACCACGCCCCTCTCAGTGGCATCTCAGTGGGGAGACACCCCCTAGTTACACGTTTCCTCCGCGGTGTGCTGAGGCTGAGGCCTCGGGTACGATCTCGTGTCCCTACATGGGACCTAGCAGTGGTGCTAGAAGCTCTCTGTAGGCCTCCATTCGAACCTATCGAAGAAATTTCTGATCGCCTCCTTACGATAAAGACTACCTTTCTTCTGGCGTTATCTTCTCTTAAGAGAGTTGGGGATTTACAGGCCCTTTCTGTGGCCCCTTCCTATAATGACTTTGCGCCCGGTCTGGCAAAAGCATTTCTGTACCCTCGTGTGGGGTATGTCCC